CAAACGACTTTTTGGGGCCACCGCGACTGGATGGCCTTCTTCGTTTTGCCGTACCCATATGGAGCCCATATATGGCATATTTTTTTCAGCAGCCATGGTAGAAGTTTTGAGAAAAGGGGGGATTGTGATGTTTGAGAAAGTGGGTGGTGGTGTTACGCCTCGAACAATGGCTTTATACTGGGGGTAAGGCACTAATCAACGGAAAATCAGAATCAAAAGTTGGATTTGCAATTTTGCATACATTTTCATGAAAATATATATCTGCAATATATATGTAAATGGTCTATTTGCTCTTTAGGTTTAGGGCTCTCTCTTAGAAGTTCATTTCAGCAAAGCGAAGATCTAGGGTGGATTACTTGTATGAAAATAAAAAAATAACACCATTTTAGGGATTTTGGGAGGTTACCTTGTTATGATTCTTCTTAGATGGTATTTTCAGCAGGAGAAGATCTGGGGCGGATACCTTGGATGAAGAAAAGAATTTATGCCATTTTAGGGATTTTGTTGGTTAAGTTTGTGTTTTAAGGCGTGTTTGCTTGAGACTAAATTAATGACCAACTGTTTGCTGGAGACTAAGCCCCCGTTTGGGCCACCTTTTTACCTCATTAAAATAAAAAATATGACTGTTATTCATCACATCAACTTTTAAATTCAAATTTTCTATATCTTGTGTGGGCTCCAATAACGACTATATTTTTCATTCTCATTCTACAAAAAGGTGGCTCAAACATGGCCTAAATTAATGAACAGCCTTCTTTTCACATTTCTATTATACTTTACAAAAATCAGTATATTTGGTTAAAAAAAAGGTTGAAAGTATATTTTAAATATTTATTATAACATAGGTGTGTGGTAGAATTTCCACCAAAAGTAAAACTTATTTTTGGGTTGGTTTTACTTGCTCTCTCCTCCAACAAATTGGGCTCTAAGCTTATGTAGAACTGACACAAATAGCACTACGACGGATATGTTTGCTTGTTTGAAGCTTAATTTTAAGTTTTTAAACCCTCTTTTCCCATTTTTGGAACTGACACAAATAACACTGAGAAGAAAAAATAACCGTTATATTGAAAGTTTTTACAAGAAAAAAAAATAAAAATTGAAATTATGCTCCCATCATTTACTGTTCATTTTTACTGTCATTGCTGTGAATTTAAAACTAAACTTATTGCTTAAGTAGTCTCCCTTTTGTGGGCATTGGGCTTGTATTTGCCAAATTGTTCAATTAAACATGTACATATATAGCTTGGGAGGGGAAAAAAGAAATTGAGGACCAAATTGTTAAATTAAACATATACATAAAAAGACAATTGACTTAAATTTATTGCGACATTGGAAGGGACGAGTCAAGATAGTTTATACTCGTCTTAGAAGAGAGTCAGAGCCATAGATGAAAGAGCTAAGAATAACGACGATAAGTGAGAATTAGATGGTACTTACAATATTCAAAACTGTATACCAAACATTTCGATGAAAATTCACAGGCCAAGTACTTTGTGGTTCTCTCACAGTGGAGATAGGGTATATTAGATCCTGGCATATTTAGGGGCTTATGCTAAAAGAGTCCTCACATTCTAAGCTCCAAGCCATTATATGTGGAGGTGGGGTGAACAATATATTGTGTTTTGTCCTGATCTACTGCTGGATACTGTGTATATCTTGGAGACAACCTGGTGTCCTGGTGTTCGAAAAAGCAACAAGTAGTAGTGAGGTCGAGTACCGAAGCAGATTATCGAGCCTTAGCTCACAGTGCAGCTGAAATAACATGGATCCAGTCATTGCTCAAGGAATTGAAAATACCAGTGACTTCAATACCAAAAATCTGGTGTGATAACTTGAGTGCAAGTGCTTTAGCCTCAAATCCAGTTTATCACGCACGAACAAAGCATATAGAACTTGATGTTCATTTTGTTAGAGATAAAGTCTTGAAAGGTGAACTGGAACTTAATTATGTACCATCATCCGACCAGATAGCAGACTTGCTTACAAAACCTCTCTCACATTCCAGGTTTTTTTTCCTTAGAGACAAGCTTGGAGTGTTAGAAATACACTCCACCTTGAGAGGGGGTGTTAGAGTATGAGATAAAACAATCAGCACTACCAACCAATTTGCTGGCTAACGGATTGCTCTGTGAATTACCTGTGCACATGCTCTTCCAGTACAAAAGGAATATAGGCAGTTATACCACCTGGCATTTAGTTTTTTATTCACCAAAATATTCCCGTGTATGTATTCTGTTTGTATAGGTTTTAGTTCTATATAATTTCAATAAAATGCCTAAGAAGTTGTGCTGCAAATTTATCCCTGAGTAGCTCCAATTTAAAATTTGATAAACAATATAAAATTGTGCGCAAGAAAGAAAGCTATATGGTAAAATGCTACTTGCTCCATCCTATTATGTGTAGTCGAGAATACCAAACATGAGAATGACTGAAAGGCGGTCCCCGAAGTTATTGCTCTTGTAAATGTCAACTTTATGAAAGAAGAAAGGGTGAGGTAGTGGTTTTTCTTGTTATGACAAACAATTGGAAGTCAACATTTATTGATAGATGACTAAAGATAATTTTCAGTGCCGTTGGTTCCAATCTATTGCAACCCCTAAACCCCTCTCCCCACACACACAAAATAAATAAATAAATAAAATTACGTATAACTAGAGAATGTTGTACTGAAAATTAGAAATCCTAATTTTATATCACCAAGAGTAATAAAATTATAGTTAGGAAATAAAGACATAAAAATACACGTAAGATTTATGGAAATTTGTCTCAATATGAGATTACGTCTTCGTCCGTCACTACAATAATTTACTATGATGAAAATAAGTTTTTTTAAAAAAAATCACACACCCGATTCTCTGAAACATCTCTCTCTTGATGATGATTACAAAATCCTAAAGACGGTTCCTATTTATAAGAAAAAATAGGGCAAAATCGAAATTACAAAAGTCAATCCTCATACAGACTTCACAAAATGGCAATAATTAGGTTCCACGACTTAACAAACTATATCTATGCTTGATACTCACATATTTTTCGTACTCTAAATTGAATAGAAGATATCCAACATTGCTAAACCAAGCCACATAGTAAACATTCTGTGCACTTTTTTCTATTGATATCGAACAATCAATGTTGTAATATGTGGTTGATTTTATTTCTAAATTCAATGCTCCATCTCTGTCCTTGAAAATTGTGGACATTGGGCAGGGCAACCTCATTTGTTACAAAATAAATCTCTCTTTGTTCAACTCCCATAAAACTAGTATACTGACTGATATAAGATAAGAAATTTGTTTGAAAATAGCTCAGACAGTAAAATCTTGTCACTGGAATAAATCATTTGGTATCTCCAAGAACAACCTAAAATACCTATTTAGATGACTTTCCCACATTAATTTTTTTCGTAATAGTGTATCATACGTAATAATTGTTAGGTCGTTTTGCATTTAAAGTTTAAATTTTCAATCAATACGTCCTCTCACGTGCACACGCAGAATTTATTTATTTTTTAATCAAAGTCTAACATGTGCATAATTCATTATATGGGTAGTAGGAAAATTTGAACTTTCAAAGTTTGCAATTTTGCATTGTTTGAAATCATGTTCAACTATTTGATTTGAAAGTTTAAGTTATGTCTTGTCCAGTTGACAAATAACATATATACCCCCATTCAAGTTTTATTGATACTTATGTTTTTTCCCTTGTGGTTTTAATCAATTATTGAAGTACTTTTGGAGAATTGATTGTAAAGCATGCTAAACCAACACCTCTAATGGCCCCTACTTGATTCTAGTGGTCGATGATGGATGTCACTTTTTTTTCGTGATAGTCCTTTAAATGAAGAATAATGATGTCTATTACCAGTGATGGTAGAACACCAGTTTATATGATATTATGTGATGGGTTAAATTAAAGGCAAAATTATGTGATTCATTTAATTGAATCTATAATTTAATGTCACAAGTATTACCATCTAAACTAGTGTTAAACACCAGTGATACTAAGTAACATTACTCTTCAATGAATCTCAACATCCACTTAGAGTGACTCGTTGAAGTATAATATATAAATAACTAAATCCCTGTTTGATTTGGATTAAAAAAAAATATTTTTTAGTAGATTTCGATAAAAATTAATGAAATTTTTGGTTGAAAAGTTGTGAGTCCAAATACAAGACTAAAAATGAATTTAAAAAATAAAAACAAAAATGAGTTTTAAGAGACGAGGCCTAAACATTGTCTAAATGTATCCCTCTTTGACATTTAGGTACTTGTGAGATAATTGTCTTTATCTCGTCATCATACAAAAAGGAGCAATGCTACACTTACAAAAATATTCTAACAGAATTAAAACACGATGACAGTTGCTGTTTCTGTACACAGAATTATTCTACAAGAATATAGATATATTTGTAAGTGAAAATATTTTGGAAAATTCTACATGTACATCGACTTTTGTATATAAGGGGCTACACTTCCCCTCACATAGGGTATGAGACCCACTGCATAAAATATGTTTTTATTTAAGCGGATCCCACTCCCATGTGAGGGGGGTGTATACCCCGATATACATTGTAATATACAAGTAGCAAAGTCCAAATATTTTTTAGGTACATGCAAATATGCACTATACAAAGTGCCAATCTCAATCATATGAGTGAACTGTTCTTCATTTAACCAAAAGCTAAGCAAACTCGTCGCCTATTGTACGGAAATTTCAAAAAACGAACTTATTTTCCAAAAAAGAAGCCAGCTTTTTTAAAAAATAAAAAAATGGTGGGAAAGTAAAAGCTAAAGAGATGAGGTGTGCATATGTAGAGAGACACAAATAAGTTCAAGGGAGTTAGAAAAATTGAGAAGAAACAGTGGTGGTGGTGGACACTGACAGAGAGGACTAATAATTTATATATGCACTCCAAATTTTAGAAGCAAGTTGCAGTATTATTTGATCAAATTAGAATAGTTTGTTCGTGTTAGAGAACAAGACTCTACTCTTCCATGGCTGCTATAACCACTGCTTTTTTCATCGTCATACTCACATTTTTCCTTGTTAACTCTCATGCTGCTGATACAAAACGTACGCTCTATACTAGCCTTTTTTTCCCCTAAATTCTTGCCTTCAATCACGATTTTTACGGTTATTCTTTTTGAATTCTTGCAGAAGTTTATGAACATATGCAATTCACTTACTCGGGTGGGACTGGACCGGAAAAGTGGGGAAGCCTAGACCCGAAATTCAGCATGTGTGCAAATGGGAAATCACAGTCTCCAATTAACATTGTGAAAGCTAAAGTTGTAGTTGACAAGAAGTTGAAGCCATTGATCAGAGAATATAGTTCAGCAAATGTTACTTTGGTCAATAATAAATTCAATGTCGCGGTTAGTTTTCCTTTCAAAATGCGTAGCTAGTTTTCTTGTTCATCCAAAAGTTTTATGTTGGGTATTTGTGCTGGAAATTTAGGTCTACTTCTAGATTTAGTTCTTGATCTTCTTTTGGAAATAGTAATATAAGAACAAAAACAACACGAGTATTTATTTAGAATAGCTGAAAAGTGGGAAGGAAATCGAAGTGGGTGACAGCGAGACTTGAACTCAGAACATTTGTCTCCATATTTAGTGAATTGATTTAAAAATTACTTGGGATCATATTTATATCATTTAAATATTATCATTAATACTGATTGTTCGAGTCTTAATCGAACTCCTAATGCAGGTGGTTTACCCTAGCAATTGTGGAAAGTTGATTGTGGATGGCAAGAAGTATTCCTTGAAGCAAATGCACTGGCATTCTCCTTCAGAGCACCGAATCGATGGCCAGCAGTAAATCCTCTCCCTGTTTCCTTCTCTCTTCACGGCCGGTTTTGGCCTGGCACGGTCCCATTTTTAGCCAGGTTGGGCCTCTACAGCCCAGATCGCACATCCTGGCTATAGAGGTGGGCGGACCAATAGCATGTCATGTCACAAGCTAAATTATGCCACTCGACACATTTTTGACACATCTACAGCTCTACCCTCATACACACATTCTGAGGCACACATTGCAAATACAATCTGTAGATTGCATAATAACTTTGCAAGTAAAACCTTATCTATCGCATGTATCATATTTCAGATTTGCTGCAGAGCTTCATCTGGTGCACGTAGCCGATGATGGCAGCGTTTCAGTTGTGGGCATCCTTTTCCAGTTAGGACGCCCCGATCCAGTTATCGAGAAGGTATATTTCGAGCAATTTCTACATGTTTTGTAACGTACAGAATTGTATTGGACTCGACTAGACAACTCACAACTTTACCAAATAAGGATCGAAAAAAGCATTCTAACATTTGAAGTGTTTCTCGATTTACAGATACAGAACAAATTAAGTGAATTGGCAAAGGAGGTTCATACAAGTAATGAAGAAGCTCCAGTTACAGTAGGACCTTTCCATCCCACAGAACTGAGGAAAAATGGGCACAAGTATTACAAATATGTAGGTTCTTTTACCACTCCTCCATGCACTGAAAACGTTACATGGATCATCCTTGAAAAGGTAAGAAATCATTTCAATTTTGAGAATTATGACATGTTTGGTAAATCGGAATGAATACAACTGAGATTGTATAATATTTTTGTAAGGTGAGGTCAATGTCGAAGATACAGGTAGAGGCTCTAAAAGCTCCACTCGACACCGGATGCAAGAATAATAATAGACCTGTGCAGGAATGCAACGGACGCCTTGTGGAGCTTTACGAGGAGCAGGTGAACCACGTATAGAGTTTCTATGGTTTTGTAATCTATTAATTGTCCGTCGAAGATATAAATTAATAAAATTAATGTTTTCAAATATTTACATTTTTAAAAATAGTAGAAGAAAATGGTGTGTTAAATATATTAATTGGATTCAGGCACCAAACTTAGCTCCTATTTTACCTTCGTTTCTTAAAAGGGGAAATTTCATATCCAAGAGATGAAGTATATCATATCTCAAAATTAAGAAACAAAGTTTAAAACATTAAAAATCAGATATTAATTAAATTTTATTTATGAAATAATTAATTTTATATATATATTGACGGGTAGTTGGAGGAAATAGAACTTGAAAATTGAAATCAAACAAATTTTTTGTTGAAAAATAAGAATTTATAGAAGAAATGATAAAGATACGGTAATTTGAATAGAAAGTTTTGAAGATACAAAAAATTAAAAATTACAAGGAATTTCTAAATTTCTTGAAAAAATATTTCTTCGGCTAAAAACTTTTGAGGAGATCTTCAACCTTAATCTTGATTTATAATTGAAGGACAATGACGTCTGCCACCTGTCCATTGTTGGCGCCTTCTCTCTGAAATAATGCGTCAACTTTTATAAAATGGTTTTAATAAAATCGATTAAAATAGAATCTCTTTTATTAAATTTTCCTTTATTAAAGTTTTTTTGTCATTATTTATTTTGATTGATAGCAATGCCAGCAAGAATAACTTTTGAGGTGGAAGACAGTTGAAAGAAAGTATTTCTTGAATTATGAACCTTGTATCGTCAATATTCATTCAAATAATTGGGTCCATGTATTCATTTGAATCTTTCGCATTTCTTTGACTCTTTTTCTTCAATTAATTCATCAATATTTATCCCAGAGCAATCATCTTCATTGCTTTGAGCATAATCTGTTTTTGAACTCGTTGGAGAAAAAATTTCTTGAATGGAATTGGATTTCTTTGAAGTTGATTCAGCCATAGAAGCAATTTTTTCAAAAATAATTGTTGATTCTTCTGGTATCTTACATTGATGAAACATCGATAATGGTCTTGACTTTTCTGCAAGGAAATTGACATGATTTTCTTTATCTTTTTTTAGAGACTTTTGGAATGCCAATATTCATTTATTATTGAATCCATGAATTAACAACAGTGGGATAGTAGTTGGTTTCATGAATTTGGATCACCATTTAATTTTGAATCTACAAACTATACTTTTTACATTATATTCGGAGCATGGTCTTTGAACAATATTGAAGTCCCAACAGAATATCCATGAGACTTTGAGATTGAAGGAGATCTAGAGCAAAATATTCTCTTGAGGCTTTAGAAATTGTTTTGCCTCTGATTTGAAGTGTTCGAATCCTCAATGAGTGAGATTGGTAAAACTTTCTCATCAAATCCAAAATATTTGAACTATATTTGAAACCATTTTGAAAAATTTGAAGGGCATGCTTGGTTAAAAAGTATAAATCAGGTATGAGTCACTAGTCTAATGTAAAAAACATGGTACCAAGCATCTTTATAGTCTAAATAATTGAAATCAGATTCGAACGTTTCATCCTTAGACAAACGCGTTCGTTTCTTTTCCCATGGGTTCTATCCCTAGCCTTCATAAGATAAAATCCTTTGGATATTTAATTTTGAAAAATTAATTTGGTTTTTGAAGGTTTGAAGAATGGGTTATGATAGCCGATCCAGTTTTAATAAGGATGGCTTTATAAAAGACTCTTATTTTTTGATATTTCTGGACATGAAATAAAATTAAGGAAAAGATCATGAAGGCATTCATTTAGAGAAGAATACCTATATGCACGTGATATTTCCATTTCGAAAACAGGTTATTGAAGTGGTTTTGTAAAATAATGAAAGGTTTTTGAATGATTGATTTCTTGTAACTTGATAGAACTATGTGGAACGACTCTTTTGAAATTTGAAGGTTTTGGTAAATCAAAAATTTCCTTATATTGAATCTTTCCTAGTATTTGGAAAGTAGAGAAGGATAAAGTTTTTGAGGCTAGGGTTGTTTTTTGAAAAGTTGGGGAACTCTGTTCTCTCTTTTGTAATCCTTAAATATAGTTTTCAATTGAAAGTAGAGGAATTGAAGCTTTCTGTTTGTTCTTCTTTGAAGAAGAATCCATTGATATTCTCACAATCTCTCCCAAGAAGACCTTTTTTTTTTTTTTTGTATAAACTCTCTTGTTAAGAAGTCTACAAGCACTTTTGATATTCCTTGTATATAAAGAATTTTAAAATCAAAATAGGACAAAATAGTCTGCCATCTTGCAAAAATTTTGCTTAGAAACAAGATTTTTGAAATCTTCTTGTGAAATATCTTTTGAAACTTTGCAATCAGTTTTTAAAATAATTTTTTTATCGATTAAATCATCTTGGAATTTTGAAATACATAAAACTATTGATAAATTTTCTTTTTTGATAGTTGAATAGTTCTTTTGAGGGCTGGTCCACACTACTGAATGGAATCTCACTAGCTGTTCTTGACTAGACTCTTTTCGAATCTGCTTTATCACCCTACCATATTCTATGCCTGATGCATCAGTTTCGACCATAATGGTGGCTAAATGGTCAATAATTGAAAGATATGGAATACTTTTGAAGGCTGTTTTAACTTTTTAGACGGCTAAAGTATGCTCTAGGTCCCAAGTAGTGGATACTGTTGTAACCTTTGAAAAACATGGAGCACAAAGCAGACGTATATTTTTAACAAAATTGGATATATAATTGACATAGCCTAAAAATGGTGTAAACTTGTCTTATCTAGAATTTCATTAGGAAATTTATCCGTAAATTCTAGACTTTTTTGAATGGGGGTAATGGTTCCAAGATGGATGTAATGGCCTAAGAACCTAATGCGAGTTTGCAAAAGAATAACTTTCTTAGCTAAAACAGCTTATTTGTTATTTTTGATAACATGAATAAATGCTTTGATATGTTTGAAATGTTGTTCTAAACTTTAAGAATAGATTAGAACATCATCAATGTAAACAATGATAAAATTTTGATAAGGATTAAAAATATTGTTCTTGATTTTTTGAAATTCAGAATAAGCATTTTTGAGGTTGGTATCAGAGCCACGAGTGATTAGGTGGGGTTATTGTGATTGTATTGTTTTAGGTATAGTGTCAAGGGAGAAGTTGGTTACGTTGGAGCCTACTGAATAGCGTTGGTCAGCCCGTGAAGTCAAGAGTGCATTGGGCGGTCCATTGTAGGTTGGGTTGGATTCAGTCTATCTTGTAGCATTGCATCTACAGTGGTATGTCATCATAATTTCATTATAATCAATCATCTCTTCTGTTTCAAATTGGTTTAGAAGATTTGATGGTTCTAGAAATAGAACAGATAATCTTTCAAACACTTTTCATGATAAAGAAGAAATTGATCAAGATCATGCATCTTCATCACCAATTGATACTTTCAATTCTCATGAACTTCAAATTGCTCAAATTGAACAAAAACTTCTTAACTGGACTATTCCGAAAGTAGATAAGAGTTCTATCTATGAAATAGGAAAGTTTGATTTTCGTCAAGATTATGTTATCATGCCTTTTAAGTGAACTCTTACGATAAAAAATCAAACAGCTCAAATAAATCTATTTTCAAAGATACTATTCAAACCTATTGAAAGAGATTTAAATATCTTCACGTGAGATTTATTCAAATTACTATTAAACCATTGTTTAGATTTGGTCTAGACATTCCTATTCTCTTAACTCTTAGAGATAAGATTCTCAAATTTTGAAAATTCATTATTATCCGTTTTAGGATCAAATCTTGAAAACAATCCAATTTTTTCAAATTGTTATCTAAACTTTACTATCAATCTCAATGATGGAGGTATTACGAGCTTATGATACTCAACTCAATATTCGAGCTCTTCGATCGTCTCCTAGATAAGAAAGCTTTCTTGTGGTCATCTTCATTCCAATACCATGATTCCAAAAAGGATATCATGGAATTTTCAATCTAGAGGACTTGAATGGAATTTTAAAAATGGTCAAAACACAATTCTTCTTCCTGTTCACACGACTCCAAATCAAATCATTTCCTTTTTGATGGACATTTCAAGATGATCTTTGATAGAGAAACATCAAAAGATCTTCGTAGGTCCTATTCTTCCATATCTGAAAATAGATCTGAAATTCCTTTACAACCATCCAGATTTTCAACTTTTTTTGACAAACTCGAAGGAGTTGATTTTACTCCAAACATTCCAAAGACTCAATAGACATCTAACAAATATAATGAACCAGGACAACCCGATTCTCCAACTTTGTTTGATATGTTGCCTAATCGATTAGAAAGATTGAATTGTCATTGTAACGCTATTTCTTGGATTAATAGTAGAAAACCTCCTAGAAATGTGTCCATTTGCGATATGCCCCATATATATTGAAATCGCAGAAAACCTACCTATTCGAAACATTTTGTGCAAAAAATCTCTACTGCCTAATTTGTCGTTAAAAACAGTAAAAATGTCAAAATTAAAAGTAATAATTGCAATTTCAGTATCCAAACTTTTTATTTTTTTAACAAATTATACCAAATATTTTTTTTATGTACCACCCACAATCTCAAACTTTTAAAACTTTATTTTCCACCCCACCCCACTTCATCTTCATCTCTAAAACTTCATTATACTATTTAATCCCTTTCAAAACCCTCCTAAATCCATCACCACAAATTTTTCATTTCTTCTTCTCATTCAAACTTGACATGATTCACACTCAAGATAGTTTGTAAGTAACTTGAGCCTAAATGTACTTCACAGCCATAAATGTGTTCTACGAAAGTAAAGACATGCACTTGACCAATACTAAGCCATAAAACTCATTTATATAGTTCCAAAAATTAAACCAAAAGGTTTCTACATTTTATACGAAGTGGAATCGACTACAAAATACCTAGCCCAAGTCAACGAATACTTATACACACACACACACACACACACACACACACACATACATACATACATGTATATATTGCTTCTCATATCGTCCT